ATAATTCAAATTAATCATGCAATCTTGTGCGCAATGACAGGTCAAGAAATACGTAATTTGACAGTTCAAAAATACAAACACCCGCAACTATTATCCCACCCTGTCAAAAGCCTGTTTAAGGAGCATTATTCATGGTCCTATTTCGTCCTCATTATTTAAATGGGTAAAGCCCCTTGTACCGGGGCCGGTACGTATCGAGCGCCGAGGTGGCGCCCCATGATTGGTGGAGGCTGACACAAATGTCAGCCTCCACCAATCATGTGTTGCCAACTCGGCGCCCGGTACATACCGGGCCGGTACGAGTAGGGCGGTCCTATTTAAATTTATAATTTTTTGAAAATATGTGGTTAAAAAGAATGATTTTTTTTATTTACGTATTATGTTGTTAAAAATAAGAGAGAGAATAATAAATATTTGGAATAATGAGGCCAAACAGTGGCTTAATAATGTTGTGAATTATAAAAAAGTCTATTGATTTTTTAGTCTCTCTTTTCTCTTTATTTTATAATACGTTATCAGCACGATTCTTTCAAAATCAAAATGAATGTAAGAATTAATTTGGTGAATGTGAATATATTTTATATACATATACATTATAATTCAAGGTTGCTGCTTCTTTTCTTGAAATCAATCTGTGCGGTATCATTCTGCCACAATTAATGCTAATGTTAAATTCTAAGTTTTTAATTGTCTGTGTACTTTCTAATGTTAAATTCTCTTATTCTAATTTTTTGCTGTCCTAAGTTGTATCGATTTATATTAAATCTGTCACAATCATTACGAATTGTTATACAACGTCATCACGAAGCTCATTTTGAGAACTATATCGTAAACATATCGAATGCTCTAAATGAATATCGACAATAGTTAAACTTGTATCAGACGTGAGGGTTAAAAAGAGGTATATAACTCGTATTTTCTTTAAATTTCTTCAATTATTTTTGCGCAATTAATTTCTTAATATAATTTACATCATTTTATTAGAAAATTTTACATGGCGCATGATGTCAAAAAAAAAAAAAAATTTCATGTGTAAAAATTCCTAACAAAAATTTTATTACTTTATAATGGAATATGAATTGTTATACTACTTTTTCCTCTCGATTATTTTTACATCCAAAAAATTCCTAAAAATTCATTAAAAAAATCGATCATTTTTAGGTTTTTTTTACATTAATGTTACTTTTTCCTCTACATCATTTTAAAAAAAATTAAAATAATCTAACAAATTTCCTAATATAATTTTTTTACATCATTTAGAAATTTTCCTAATAATTTTTAAATGACGTCTCTTTTGAGGTGAATGTCAAATTTTTTACATTAATATAAAATGTTGTCTCTCGATCATTCAGGAAATTTTTAAAAATTTACTTTTTAAATGATGTCATTTTACATTCAACTTTTTTTTTTTGATGCCATACTCATAAAATTTCTTAATAAAATGATTTAAGTTATATTGAGAAATTTGTTTCGCAAAAATAATAAATATTAATGAAAAAAATTAAAGAAAAAACGAGTTATACGCCTCTTTTTATTACCCCACGTTTGATGCACGTTTAACTATTTTTTATGTTCATTTAGACTATTAGATAAGTCTATGATATAGTTCCCGAAACAAGTTTCAAAATGAAGCAGACAATTTATGGATTTGACTAGCGCGTGAGGATTGGAGAATTTTTAAAGTTAGCACGTTATTGAAAATCTAGAAATACTAGTTTGAAATTGTCTACTTTGACGCACCGTAACATTTGTTATAATTGACCGTTTTGTGCGTCGGTAACGGCGTGAAATACTAGGTCGTGGACACTTCAAAAATGATATTAATAATGCAATATTTCGACTTCGTTTGATATCTCATAATAATCCCAAAAATTAAGACAAAAACA